CTACCCACTCCCTGACCTGCAGACGTGGACAACAACTGGCCATGTCTTCTAAGTGGCCACAGGCTATCAAGAATGTAGATCTAGAAGGTGAAGCTGGCGTGCTCCCCACCTGCTCCTCCCGAGAGAAAACCAAAGCATATATTCTGAGCACCAGTGCGTGGTGACAGACTCCTTTCTCTTCCTGAGATGTGACGAGGAAGTAGCTCGGAGGATGCTGCCAAAGTGCTCTCAGGATTTCTGTGTGGCGTCCATCAAGATGCTTCTTCCTGACCTCCTTGGCAAGATAACACGCCGCACCAGCTGAACGACGTTGCTGTTGAGCGGAGGGGCCCCCGCTGACGAGGGGACGATGCGCCGGCCACATGGGCCCCTCTCTGTGACTGCTAGGGTCTGCCTTGAGGCTCTGTCCTGCCGCTCAAGGCTGTTGATCACCACTTGGATGAATCTTCAGAAGGCACATGTGTGCTCCTAAAACTGACAGATGTCACAAGCTGGCAGACGGAACGCTCGTGAAGGCTGACAGAATCAGGATTAAGTGCCACAGCACAGAATCCAGGGGCTCTGATGGACTGCAGGCGTCAGGGGTTACGTGGCTGGGAAAGCTCAGGCCCCCGAGATGGTGTTAATTGGCTGGGGAGGCCTTGCTTGCCAGGCACACTGCTCAGGCTGTATCTGGAATATTCCATTCACTCCCGGGCCCGCATTTATAGGGTGCACCAAGGTGGTGAGGCTCTGGGGGCTTTTTCATGTGGGAGAGGGTTGGACGAACTTTGAGTTGAAGCTAGAGAAAGGAAGACTTGCAGCTTACCTTTTCAACCAACAGAGGAAAGCTTGTCTCACAAGATGGATCAGACTCCCTCTATTTTACCCGAGGGAAAGGCCGAGGGCCCCAGGCGGGGAAGTTGTGGGAACAGGTTTCAGTTCTGTGTAAGGAAGAACTTCCTGATGGTCAAAACTACACAGAACTCTGTGGGGAGGGCCTTTCCTTCATTGAAGCCATCTGAGCAGAGGCTGGGCGGCCTCCTCAGGTGCATTCCCCCCCTGAACGAGGGTCTCTCCATCGTCAGGCTTTATGAAAGCGAAGTGAGTAAATGCAATTAAGGTGAAAGCATGCTTATAGAAATTCTAAGAAAGTCAGGGAAGTTTTGGGAGAAGGGCAGAAAATATTACTGGGGAACCGACAATTTAAAATAGGGATTTCAGGAGCAAGTTCAGAGTTTATTTCAAAGCGCAGCATGAACTACTTCTTGGAAAATGAAGAGATGGATTTAATTTTGTCCGTGTCTCCATGAAGTCTGTATTATAAGCTCCTTTCAGTCTTGCACTTAAATTCCACATGGAAGGAACAACAGAAATGATCCCTTTCACTGGACCTGAACCCCTCTGTTTTACTTTTCGAGACTGCCGACTAGTGCTGGGGCTTGGAGTGAAGACGTCCCCAACATCCGTGAGCAAGTGTTCCAGCTGCTGAGAGCAGAAGAGGCTTCTTCTGTAGGCTCGGCCTCCCTCTATGCACATGAAGCATCTAGAAGCTGCTTCTAGAATGGGGCTCTTCACACGGTATCCGCCAGGGGCCAGGACTCCTCGAAAAGTGTGGCAGAATTTTGTGTTCATGGCATTTTTCTTTGGGGAGGGGCACCGTTTGCCTCAGAGCCCCTCCAATGGGGCTTATGACTAAAGAAGAGTGAGTCGTGCACCTGCAGGAACACAAGGCAGCGTGAGGACGCAAGCCTGAGCTCCATCCGTCCTCTGCCTCGGTGTGGTGCGGGCCTGGGGCTGTGTTCGAGAACTCATTCTGAACTTCCCTTCCAACTTTAAAGCACCAGCAGAGAGAGGGCGGTAGCAAACACCCTTGCTCACAAAGATCCCGGGCCCCCAAAGCCTGACTCTTTCAAACCGTGAAGGAGTGTGTGGCCCAGGGCCTTGAGAACGCAGTGAACGCCAAGTTCCCCATGCCCGTGACAGGCACATCCTTTCTAAATCTTGGTCACAGATGGTCTCAAAGAGACATGACTGACCACTCTCAGTTTGTTACCAGTTTTCCTGATCTAAAAACAGAATACTGAGGGCACCTGGGTGGCTCAGATGGTTAAGCGTCTGCCTTCAGCTCAGGTCATGATCCCAGAGTCCTGGGATCGAGTCCCGCATTGGGCTCCCTGCTCCTTGGGAGTCTGCTTCTCCCTCTGCCTCTCTCTCTCTCATGAATAAATAAATAAAATCTTAAAAAAAAAATAAAAACAGACTACTGAATAACTGCCTTATTGCCAAAGGGAAACTTATGCTTAAATTCATACAAACAGCCACAGGAACGTCAGGACAATATTAGGTTATTTTGAAAGATTACCCTTCCCCCCACCAAAAAGCCCCCCACCCCACTACACTTACCATTTCAGTCAATAAATAAAAAGCATTTTAGTCCTGTCCGCATTGAATGTATGAAGGGAGTAAGATAGAGAAATGGGACCCAGACCTGTATCAAGAGGAAGGTTTTCCTTCTCTAGAGAACTTTACAAATCAGACTGATACTCATCTATCTGGAATGATTCTAGCCCTTTGAAGCAGAGAAGAGAAAGTGAGCCATTGAGGGCCCTTCCAGTCCTGTGGTTTTACATAGTGAACATCTTTTTTAAGTCGGCTCCACACCCAGTGTGGAGCCTAATGTGGGGCCTGAACTGAGATCAAGCCCTGAGCTGAGATCAAGAGTCGGATGCCTGACTGACTGAGCCACCCAGGCACCCCTGAGTAGTGAACTTCTTAAAGTGCCTCGTACCCAGAAGTGAAATCAAAGTGGCTCATCCCATCCACAAAACCACAAGCACACAGGCACTGTTAACGATTCTAAGACAAGTAAAGACCCATCGGCCACGCCTTGTGAGAAAAATGCTTACACCAACACTCGGAATATTCCATCTTGTATACTTGTGTATTTTTGAAAACTCAGAATCAGAAATTTGCAGAACATCTTCAGTCAGAGACGTAAAAGAAATGTTTTGCCTGTCAATTGAAAACATTTGCTAATATTGATGGAAATGACGAAACTCCAACATCGACCTGTGTTCATGTTAAATCTGTAATCAGAGATGGTGAAGTAGAAATATAGCCAAGCGTCACTTAAAAACACAAAAGAACTGGACATGCTATACACTTCTCTTTTAAAATGTATCTGTATTATTTTCACCAATCAAAACACACATAATATATTTTATTATAAAACATTAGGCAATGTTACTTTTGAGATCTGCAATCTGAAGGTCACACCTGTATTTGCTACCAGCATGAAACACCAGAGGAGGACGTTAGAAATCAACCGGATGAACTCCTACATCGTTACCATGACTTACAAGGCATCAGATCTGGATTCAACCGGGATCCCATCCAGCAGTTCAACCAGGGGCTCTGGGTGTAGAAGGGGGCCCTGCCAAGGTTTTTCTCCTTCCAGCACGGAGGCTCTGGGTTTTGCGTCCCAGAGAGGAGAACAGGACCCCGCTGCCATTTCCATGACCACGACTGATCAATACTGAGCAGTCTGTGTTTCCACAATGTTCTCCTGCTCCGAGAGACCCTATCTGCTCTCCAAAACCTGCACTTGAGGTCAAGACCCAACCTAGGGGAGGCAGTTATTTCCTTTTTGACTGAAAACGAAGCCAACAGATAAAATAAACCTAGTCCAAATTCCAGGCTAATGACAAATTACCTGGTTTATAAAAATATGTGTCCAAAATAGTTACTTCCAGGGTTGTGTACAATATAAATTACAAAAATAAAATAGAAAAGATGAAAAAGTTGAGCACGTTTTAGTTCTTTTTCCAACATCAGCATTCACCCATCGAGAGCAGTTTGAAACTGTCTACACTGCACCAGGACCTTGGCATATCTCGGCTCAGGAGGGAGGACCCTGACGTGGGGTGAGGTATTTCTACGGAGTTCTGCTGTCTGCAGTCCCGTGGCCTGTCCTAGGAGTGCTCACTGCTCCCCGATGGAAGGTGGGCATGGCAGGAAGCCCGTCCACACCGACACAGGCTCCCCCCGTGAATGCATGGAGGAAGAACTGAGCAGAAACCCAGACTGCGAGTAGCACCCGGCTCCACTCACAAAGGGCACCTCACAAGCAGGAGCTTAATGTGCCCTCAGCATCCCCGTGCTGTGTTCACAGAAGCCTAGGGCAGATGATGCATTTTTAAAATTCTCCTTTTTCTTTTTAAAGATAGATTTAGTGAAGTCTTGTTAAAGAATGTATATTAGAGAGAAGGCTGTTTTAAGATGTTTATATATGTATAATGGTAACTTTCTTCACTGTACCATCAGGCCTCCAAAACCATCCTAAGCCATATCATAGGTGTTTCTGCTTCAATCCAAGTCAGCATTTCCTCTTATACTTGAATGCGTCTAAACCTCACAATATAAAACTAGTACTTCAATACTAATTTTGTTCATCAAGGGTTCCAGTTTCCAGTGATAAGACCAACCAATGATACAACTGGTGCAGAGAGAATCATATATTTTAGATAATATTTATAATAAACTTTCTTGTCAAAGTTCCTCCTCAGAAACACATTCTATAGAATGTTGACCCAATAGCTTCCAAAACAGTTAAACACAAGATACGAATTTGTAATAGAATAAGCTCAAGGGATAAGCATTACGAGCACAGGAAGCCAAAATGTGACCATCGTAACCCCATTTCTGCAGTGACACTTCAATACTCAGTAACTTCGGGAACTCTGATTTCCACATCAGAAAGTCTGAAAGCATCAATTTCAGGTGAGCAGTTTTAAATCAGAAAATACTCAATAGTTAATCACTACTCTTGAGGGTGCTTCCTCCATAACCCTGTGAGGAGGTTTCCCAGAAAATTCATGGGTTTCCCTCAGGAAAAGGAAATGCTCCACGAACTGGAAAACACCACCATCACAGAGGCGTCCTGAATCGCCTTGCTTCCTAAAACAGATCCAAGTGGAGCGGATGGGGGGGGGGGAGGGGGGCGGTTTATGGGGTTTCTTTCAGCAAAGAAAGAAAATTGAGGAAGAACGTTAGGTTGGAAACCGGAAATGCTGCCCTGGGAGATGGTGCCTCCCCCGGGAATGACCCTGACCAGTCTCGGGGGAAGCAAGCGCTTGGAGGAAGTCACTGCCGTTGACTTCAGTGACCGTTTTTGTCAAATTCTACTCTTGCCTCTAACGGATTTGAGAATCTGCCATTGTGTTATTGACGTGGAGTGTTAGGTGCCTTATAAAGAAGGTGAAGTTTTAGGTGGCATTTTAAATTAACGAGTCCAGAAGACCAGGAGAAAAGAGTGAGGGCAGATTAGGACTGTAAAGGCATATATGTCTTAAGCAGCACAAAACTTAAAATTTTATCATGCAATAAAGCTGAACGTACAGTCATCCCAGACTGAGACAATTTAGAGGAAACAAAGTGTCCATATAGGTCTCTTGGTTTTAGCAGTGATAATCCTCAGCCCAAAACATGACAAATTTAAGAAAAGTTGTATTTTTTATTTATTAAATAGATTTAATTATATTCCTTCTGAAATACAAAAGATAGAATAAATCATACCATAAAAGACGGTAAGATATGATAATATGATGGTGGCCAATTAATACACATAAATCTATTTTTTCCTGGACAGACACCAAATTATTTAAGAGGATTAAGAGATAATTCTGGAAGCAGCACTACCTGGAAGATTATTTGGCATTTAAATACTGATTTCCAAAGTGCTAGATGGCAAGCCTGAGCAAGCACATGTGGTCACATGCATATATGTCCCAACAGTTACTGAGGATGAGAAACTGTCACTACTATTACCGTACAACTTAAAAAAGAAAAATCATCTATTCTAATTGCTCACCTGAAATGACCTTGCACAAAATCTCTACGAGTGTGGCTTGCACTTGGGTTCTTCAGACATAGTCTGCTTCATTGTATAATCTAGGCAGGCAATCCTATTGGAACTGAGCAGGGGCAAGGCATCGTGTTCCTTACATGCAGAACATGGAGTTTTTTTCTATTTGGTTCCATCAACCCCCAAGCCTTTCAGGCTCATGGAAGCGGGAGTTCCTTCACTGATGGCAAGCTTGCCGCTCGTGACTTATCATCGGCAACCGTCGAGGGGTCCCGTCGAGGCGTCGAGGCTGCTGTCTGTGTCCGAGGCCAGCGTCTGCTCAGTGGACATGGATGAGATGTCGTTGATGGATGACGACCGGGAAGGAGTGACATTGCTGCTTACTGCTGCATCTGTGCTAAGAAAACCAAACAGAATAAAATCTGAGGCACGACACTGCCGCGGGTTCAGGCACTGAGACCTGGGGCTGTGTCTCAGCTCTGGCTTCTGTGGCTCCCTGCTCTCACTACCAGTATGAACAAGCAGTGAGTCAGCTGCCCGTGCCCACCTTTTCCTGGAGTCTTTCTCTGGGCCCAGGATCCCAAACATTCCTGGTCTTTTCCTACAACATTCTCCTTTTCTTCCCAGTGGCTAAACATCGTTATCTGTGCATGCGTATAATCATGTTGAAAAATACCTGCCTCTTTAAAAAAGATATTTGTAGAAAACTGCTGAATTTATCCTACATCTATCGGTATCACCAAAGGCTGAAGCCCAAATAGGGTTCAAGGGTCACCAGACATTTCAGCTATAATCATCAACACTTGGTCCGAGGGAGAAAAGCAGCAACCTTTGAAGAATTCTTTTGTAATAAAAACGGAATGGAAAACAATCAGAGAGGGAGACAAACCAGGAGAGGCTCTTATTAATCACAGGAAACAAACTGAGGGCTGCTGGAGGGGTTGGAGGATGGGGGGACGGGGTAACCGGGTGATGGGCATTAGCAAGGGCACATGATGTGATGAGCCCGGGGGTTATACGCACCTGATGAATCACTGAGCGCTACATCTGAAACTGAGGATGTACTATATGTATGTATGGTATAACTGAATTTAAATTTAAAAAACCCTGCTAAAATAAAGACTGTATACAAACAGAAAGGAAAAAGTTTAGTGGCCTCTTGTTCATTTTATTTTTGTTTTATACATCCTGAAAACTAACATTTTGGTTTTTTAAGGTACACGAAACTACCCTGTTTCCTACGGTCTATATTTTAGTCTAGCTTGAGCAAAAATAAAACATCTGAGCTCCCAGAGGCCAGTACTTGCAGTCTTAAACATGTGCCTCGTTAACCACGGGCACCTAAATCTGTGCTGAAGTTACATAATCTCTAGATGCTTAACACATACGTCATGCTGAATGTAAAATTCAAGAGAAAGTACGCGGTGCAGTCTGCACCTCCGTGTGCATGTGCGCGGGCTTCTGGGGGGATACGAGGTGAGCCAATAAATATACCTTGGAAGGATTTCACTCAGGATGCAGGTGGGATCCTACGGACCTGAGTGAACACCACATGTGTTATGTCTCCAACAGTCGCCCGGGGAACCGACCACTAGGCAGACCAAGTACAAATGTGGGAGAATTTTATGAACAGCTTTCTCAAAAGGAAGCCAAATTCCACTGTACTTAGATTTGCACGGATTTTCCTCTGTAACCGGGTGGGGCCAGTCCAGAGAGGGTCACGCACCTTGGCAACATTTTAAACTCGGCTCCGTCATCTGCATGCGGGGCTGGCGGGAGCAGAGGCAGGCGCGGGACAAGGACGGCTCGGACGCAGTTAGTTTAGTGCCCGATGCACCAGGAACCTGCTGGCTGCCGCCAGCACGATGCCCCAGACAGGGAGCCGACCTCACAGCATGAGCTTTCGGACCCAGTGCCCATCGAGCTGGTACTTTAGGCCCCTCTACCATTTAGGAAAGTTGGACGGGGAAAAGGAAATTGTAATCAAGCTATTAAAGCAATCACTAACCTGAAGGCTGATCTTTGACCACACCGTTCTTGCTTCTCTCTTCCCAGTCCAGCACTTCTTTGTAAATCAGCTCTTCAAAAAGAAACGCAAGGTAAGAGGCTCCATCAGTTTCTCTGCATCTCTGAACCCTGCTTCCTAATCAATCGGGACCACTCCAAGGGCACTGTGATGCCTTATTTTTAACTGTGATATACGGTTAATTCAATAATACCATCTACCTAGACCAAAACATCCACGTTTTTGATCCATTACTCTTCTTAACCCAATGTGTGAGGGCGCCCGAAACCCCAGGCAGTTCTAAACCCACGAGGGGGTTCTACAAGGGGCAGGGGACCAGCAAAGTGGCTCTCGTGGAGCATTTTAAAGTACTAGACGCTTTTGCACTGTTTGCATGTGTTTCTCTCTGTCATTACTCGGGATCCTCCAAATGGAGCTGGTATCCATCTGTGGGTGACAAGCCCCTCCAGACTGGCCAGAAATTAATCCACATTCCTCAGTCATTTCTTGCCTTCAACCTTAGTTTCCTTGATTCTGACTTGTAAGTAAAACTAACAATCTAAGGAAGCATTAGGGGTTCCTACAATTTCGGCATTCATGAACCGAGATGAGAACACTGTGAGCATCTCCTTGGCCACGGAGTGTGGCTGCATGCGTCTCCCTGCTGAGCGCATGTTCACGCAGGTCCCAGCTCTCCGGGGCGCCGGGGAGAGCAGATGTAATCTGCTTAGGCAGAGCACGTTGCCACCTTTGACCTGCACTCACTGAGGTTCTTCAATTCCTACCGATTCTGCTTTTTAATGGAGAATTGTTCTTCGACCCCCTGGTTACAGGCTTAGTTTGCTGTGGGCTGTTTGGTGAATCTTACAATCTTCAGAAGCAAACAGTATGCGGTTCATACCTGCTCCTCTCTAATTCTGTTATCTGCAAGTTCCTTCTCTACTAGGGAGTGGGAAGACAGGGGCTAAAGGGGCTGCAGGGCCTCTAGCCCTTTCCCCTAAAAAGGCTCCCGCTGACAGGCGACGTGCCGCGAGTGAGCGAGGGGCAAAATCAGCTGTCTTTACCTTTCCACTCTTCAATTGCATGCTCTCTTTCTTCCAATTGGGCATCATAAATCTGAGGTGGTGGCTGAAAATTAAATTACATGTGAAGTCAACAGTTAAAAATGTTAACGAGGCATGAAGACGGTAAAATCACTGGGGTGATTCTAATCTATTTATCATGTGGCTTTCATTCAATACATGGCTTCTTAAAGGTTTTTCATAAGTGTGACATTACATCACTTTCCGAATCCAAATAATTAGGGGGAAATTAACCAAAAAAAAAAAAAAAAAAAAGGAGCCATTACGGTCCTCTTAATAATTACATAATCTCCAAACAGTCTCAGGGCACCTGCCCAGATGTAACTCTAAAATAGTAATCACAAGCCACTTCCTAGAGACCCGCCCCAGACAAGGACCGTGCTGGCTCAGGTTTGCAGTTCTTCATGTTGAAGCCCCCATATCCAATCCCCAACTCACACTGGTCTCTTCCAAAAATCTGCTTCAAAATCACATGTTGATAAATGGGACTCCTTTCATATGAAAGTGTTCACTGTGGTGGTTAAATCTACAGGCCAGTCCGAAAATGAACCTGCCCCCACGAGGTTATGTCTTATAGCCAGAGATCACCCATGCCAGTGTTGCTAAGGGAAAATGCACCTGAGCGCCGCACTCAGAAGTGGAACCCCCTTGGGAACTCCCCAGGTGCCTCTGGGGAAGGACAGATAAAGTTGGGATTTTCAGCAAGTTTCTTAGCCTCTCTGATGGGGTGGCCTAAACAGGGTGTTATAAGCAAAACACAGGGCACACTCCCGAGGTACACTGAGTGACAGCCCCAGGATGGATGGAAGATCTAAGGAAATGTACGCCCTGCCCTTAGGCACAAGTCTTTCCAAAACAGACGCTTACCGCCTCGGCTTCAGTAGGGTCGTACCAAACGGTAATATAAGGGTGACGTAAAGCTTCGTCGACAGAGATTCGCTTGTCGGGATCTATCACTAACATTTTCGATAACAAATCTCTGGCTTGACTTGCTAGGGTGGAAACAAATATTAGATGAATAAATTAATGCTGAGGCATAGAACATCAGAGAGAAAATGTAACAGTGCAGATAGAACACAGATGTTTTAACTTTGAGAAATTTTTGACAGGTTCCAGATCAATCGAGGCTTTTTTCTTTAAGAATAAGCCACTTTCACTATCAATCACGTTTTCAACCTCGGTGTCTTGCCTCTGGCTCTGGGACGGGAGGCGGAGGGACAGGGCCTGGGGAAAGGGTAGCAGGTGGACGCAGGCCAAAGGGAGGCTGACACGGTGCCCAGGGAGAGCCGCCACCAGGGAGGGCACAGGAACTGAGCTAAGGGCCACCACTGCCCGAAATGCAGCACAGAGCACGGGCAGGCTCTTCTCTTGATGTCCCATCCAAACAAAATTAGAACGGACCTCTTCAGCCATATAATAATCTCACGAACACTTCACAGATGCCTCTACTATGCCTACCTGCATGTAGTGCTAGCAATATACACTTAAAAAAAAAAAAATCTAGAGATCACTTGTTAGGAAAAAACCCAACAAGCTCAGTGACTCACCTAGGTTCTGGCAATTAAAGTTCACATGGGTAGGCAAAGGAGAGATGGGGCTTTTCTGATGGAGGCACAAGTTTACCCCGATGTGGAGAGAAATCTATTCTTTTCCTTAAATCACAGTTCTAGTGACGGGCACCGGAGAAGGGGGAGGAGGAGCTTTTTGTAATCGAACTATGGGCTAGAATCTTAATTCAAGTGTTCCATGTACCTGAAAACTGTGTGAATCCCAATTAGCTATAATTAACATAGGAGTCTTTGAGACTGACGCAAACCTTTTCATTCTAACCAAAGGCTTCAGTGCGGCCCTTCTGTTGAGGACAGAACTTTCAGGTCGCTAAGCCTTCAGGCTGGCCTGTACCTCACTTTATTTGAGGGTTTCCCCTATTTTATCTCCCCACGTCCAGCGGTGTCAGAACGCGAACCTGAAGAGGCTGAGAGCAGCATCTAGACTGCGGAAACAGGGATGAGGGAAACAAAGGGCATCTTACTTTTAATTTTGTCTCGTTCGGATTCTGATGGGAATATCCAATCTGGGAAGAGCTCTTCAAACTTGATGCCGGGGTACTTCGGTCTGTTTTCTACATAATTTCTCACAGTCGGCTGAAGTTTCTTCATAAAATCCGCAGACGGCGTTCCTAGCTGCTCAATGACTTTATTCCACTGATCAATATCTAAGGAGTCTCTTGAGGAAAATACCACTGAAGGGCCTTACAGTCACATTACATGGAGTAGCGTCATTCAAAGCAGCACTGAAATCCTCTTTCTACCTACTGACAGGTAATGAACGAGGCCATCCCACAGGTGTTTTGAAATGATAGGTAAATACGGCGTGGGTTTCCAAAGTTGAGACTAGTTTTAAAACCTCTGCGCCTTTCTAAACCCTGATCGCAGTTTATTAGACCAATACACTGAGGGATGTATGCCTTCCGCTTCTAGACCAACAGACCGTTATCTTGGAACTGAAGACTATCCATGACATGACAGAGGTGATTAAAGATGAAATTAGATAAATATTACTTAGGCAAACCAAAATCAATTTTCACACCAAAGCGACTTAGATTTGTAAACTCCCTGAAGTAGACAGACCTGAGGCCTGGGCTCACAGCTGGGGACGCAGAGGCCCCGCGGGGTGCAGTGCACGAGCCGGGGCTCGGGGCTCTCTGAGCCCAGGCCTCGTCCCCTCCCACGGGACCATGGGCTTGCCTGAAATGGGGCTCAGGCTGACAGCTTTGGGAGGTCATTCTCTTTCACTCGGCACTGACCCTGACCATCACTGCAGTACCCTGGAGCGCATCTTATTTCCTTTCAAAGTCCATGACCTGGGTTTCAGACTCCACTGTGCTCCTAGCCATGCAGCAGGTGCCGGGCACTCAATCTCCCTCGGCTCTCAAGTTACTTGTTGGTAAGATGCAGAAAATACCAGCTTTACAGTTTACAGGGGGCTTGGAAAAACCGGCATCATGAGCTGGAAAGTGATTCTGAGACCGTAAACAATTATACAAGAGAATGTAGGCCAGAAAAAAAAATCATGTAAACAACGTTTAGAAAACAGTTTTCTTTTTTTTTTTAAAGATTTTATTTATTTGAGAGAGTGAGAGCACATGAGAGGGGGGAGGGTCAGAAGGAGAAGCAGACTCCCCGCCGAGCAGGGAGCCCGATGTGGGACTCGATCCCGGGACTCCAGGTTCATGACCCGAGCCTAAGGCAGTCGCTTAACCAACTGAACCACCCAGGAGCAGTTTTCAATTTTTTTAAAAAAAAATCTAATGGAGGTTTGTCTTAGAAAAATGCAATCATATTGCTGTGGAAGAACCTGGGAGAGCTGAACAGGCTCAGGAGACGGGTTCTGGCCACTGGAGTCTAGCATATTCTTGTCCCTCACTCCTGCGTTCCTATGTGCTGCCGAAGCAGGATCGGGAAGCCCTGCTCACCACCTTCACTTCCCACTGATTATCCGAAACAGCCCCTCGTCTCTCTGCTTCTGCTCTTGCCCGTGACAGTCTGTCTGCCTTGGCTCAGCAGCTGGGACGACCTTTCCCAACGTAAGTCAGATAGGAGCCTAGAAACGGGAGGGTGCTCAGTAAATGTCTAGTGTGTTCATGATAAAGGGTCATTTCTGTAGACTAACGGGGGGGGTGGGGGTGGGAAGGGAACATCACCCCCAACAGGCCTGGCTGGCCTCCGGGTGTGTGCACTCGTTCCTGTCCCTCGGCTCCCACGGGCCTCTCAATTGTACCGAAGGGGGACTGAGGCTCGGGGAGGCCCGGACTCCTGTGAGCCCGAGGAGGGCTGGCTGCAGCTCCCTGTCTCTGACAGGCCTACTGTGGGCACAGGAGGTCCTCTTCTACCCAGGTCGTGGATCTGAAGCACATCTCAGAGAACTGCAGTCTGGCTGCCAGAATCTTTTTCCATTCTAGTAATTTTGAATCTAATGTTTGCAAGAGGGGGCAAAAATTGCCTTTGAAAAATGATGTTAGCTCTGTGTCTATATATATATTTTTTTTAAGATTTTTTATTTATTTATTTATTCATGAGAGACAGAGAGAGAGAGAGAGAGGCAGAGGGAGAAGCAGGCTCCCAAGGAGCAGGGAGCCCGATGCGGGACTCGATCCCAGGACCCCGGGATCATGACCTGAGCCGAAGGCAGACGCTTAACCATCTGAGCCACCCAGGCGCCCTCTGTGTCTATATTTTGAGAATGACCTCAGGTGGCCTTATATATAAAACTGTTAGTTACTGAAATTGCAAGATGTTAGTATGTAAGGTAGGAACTTTAAATTGACTTCATAATGCACCAGAAAGTATCCACAGTTTTTGTACTTTCTGAAGAAAACATTTCTTAATTCAAAAAAGGAAAGGCACAAAATGAATAAGAATTGAGACAAATGAAATGTTAAGTAGATCCTTCTAAATTATTTATCTTTAGACTATAACAACTTTTCCCTTTTAAGCTGAGTCTGTTTGCAAAATAAAGACCTCCTTATTTATAGTTTGGAACAAGTGAATCAAAGGAAGGGCTATGGAAAACTGCTAGAAAATTTATTAGAACAAAATAAAATGCTGTATTTAACTTCACATAAAATCTGTGATGTGAAAAATGTCAAGGAAGGCAAATAAAATGATAAGAACAAAATCTTTCATTCCATGTTTGTGTTGTAAAGAATTTGTATTACAAGAAAATCACCCTCATAAAATTATAAAAAACTGAAATAACTTTAATAAAATACATACAAAACACTGACTACACAGCTTGATCTCCTTTAAAAATAACCATCAATCTGCCAACAGAGACCACTTTAAGCTTTCATAAGGAAAAAAACAAAATCAAAGACTAATGAAAATCGTAAGTGGTTAGAACACAAATGAAAAAGGGAATATGTTAGAGTGAAAAGTATTAAAGATGGAAGAATATGAGGACCACGATGAAAGAAAGCTATTTTAACTATTATATTGTCTTCTGCTTTATGCTATATGTCATTAATGTGATTTGCTGACCACAGTATAAGTTAATCTTTTGCATTTTATATTTATTTAGACTTCTCCAGGTATATCACAAAAGAACCTTTTAGATGAATCTTTTAAAAATTTCTACAAAATGTCAGCAGAGTAACAGGCAAGAAAATTAACATATACTGTTCCTCACAAACATTTCCTTTCCATCTCTTTACTTTGGTCTTATGTAGTGTGCTTCAGTTCTTGCTTTGGGGGAAAATATTTTAGTCCATACCGACAGCTAACAAAATGGTATATTAATTGAATGACACAGCAATACTAGCCTATTAAATTTAGACAGAAACTTTCCTTGTTAAATTAACTGAATGAACTAAATAAACAGTGTTTTCATTTAAATATCAGAATACATTTGACAAAGTAAATAAATTTCTAAGCTATTTTTGATAAAATTAAGAACTAATATAATCGGTTTAACGTAACTCTAAGCCTCAATAAAGTCACTGCAGGTAGTCAAGTGAAAAAAAAACATAAAACTGAACCATTTGGTTTGTGACACTAATTTAACAAACATAATAAAGACCCCCTTAGGACACACAGTCTAGAATTGCAACATTTTCCTTTCAAGCTCCTGCTGTCTTTGGCATTTATGGAAAGCATGGCCGGGAAGGTCCCGGGAAGGATACGGTCAGTGCCTTGGAAAATCACACAACCTTTCACCAGCTCTCCCATGATGCAACCCACTGACCAGATATCAACTGAAAATAAAATGAAATGATAAAATTATGAAGTGCCATGAACAAAACAAAGGTGAGGAAAAGGAATTCTAACAGTGTACTAAACACACAAATATGGAAAAATAAATTGCTAGCTAAGGGTGAGCTCTTTCCACGGTGCGAATGGTTGCTGGCCTCCGCTGTGGCCTTCGACTTCCAGCAATCTGGGCTTTAGTGCCCAAGAGTCCAGGACTTTACAGCTTGAGAAACAAACAAACCCCCCGAAAGAAGAGGTGCCTGTCCCCACAAAGCTGTGTGCAGGCCACGTGCCCACCCCCACCGCCTCCCCCGTGGCCAGTGCTGGGGCTCTCCCTGTGAAGGATACAGTCTCTTCCTGGGAACAGGACTTTATGGAGGACCATTTCTGCCATGATGCACCCGACAGACCAGATGTCCACTACCAAACACCAGGTGATTAAAACCAGCCGGAGACCCCCATGCAGCTTCCTCAAACCCCCTCCCAACAAAGACAAACCCAGCTTTCGTAAAATATGGACACAACGCTTGCTGAGCGACCCTCTGCTAAACTGCCAGGCCGGCAGGACCTTACAGGGCAGGTGTGCTGGTCTGGGCTTCCGTGGCGCCCGATGGCCAGACAGAGGGCTATTTTGTGCCCATACTTAGTGCTGGTGGAGGAGCTAATGGGGCCAGCAGGAAGCCACAGAATGGCGTCTCTCAGAGTGGGGGCACTGGTTACATTCCATATGACCTGCGCAAACTTTCAGACTCTTAGCAAGTCTTAACTGTGATTGAGTTCTTTTCGACAAATTTGTCAGTGGCTAAGTTACAAAGGGCTCTGATATTGTTAGAGTAAGTTAAGTTTTGATGTTAAAAACCCAGTTTTACACAAAAGAGAACGTGTATTATTCAATTATTACCAAGTCCAAAAATAAGCAAAACCAGGCCTTGGCACCAGAAATCAGGATAATGGCTCTCTTTGGGGGCTGAGATCGAAGAGGGGGCCCGGGGAGGTCTTGGGTACTGCTGGTGTGGTGGGTCTGCATACTTCCCCAAACTATGTATGTTTAACTTGGAGAGATGGTCGAAAAGATTCATTTCGAAAGTGAATTTATAGAAGTGGGTGACTTCTGCCAGTGGAGATATGAGATTAATGATTTCGTGTCTGTGGCCCTGATGACCTGTGTGTGACACAGCCCCCACATGGTGTTTCCTGTGGCTCAGGGGACAACGCTAGTGGGGAGCCGCGGCCACGTGGGAGTGCCGCCTGCACTCACCGTTCTCTTTGTAGCCCATGCCCAGGATGACTTCGGGCGCCCGGTAATAGCGCGTCACCACGTATGGCGTCATCATGAAGTTGGTGCATGCTGTCCGGGCCAGGCCAAAGTCAAGGATCTTAAGCGTGCAGTCTGATTTTACTACGATGTTGCTAGGCTTCAAGTCCTAGGGCAGAAATGGTTTAAATGAGCGAGACAACACAGAGCATGCTAAATGGACAACTTCGCACCGGTAGGGATCTGTGAGGCCGGGGGCTGCGGAAGTATCTGTGTCCTGGGACATCGAGGGAGGTTAGAACTGAACACTGGGATTTTGGAAAACCCGACTCTCTCAAATTGAAACGAATACAAATCAGCCTCAGGAAGTCAGATGGTCGCCCTCATCCCCACATGCGAAACTTCACAACATCCCTTTGCTTAAAATCTCCTCGGGGCTAACCCACCTATCCCTCCTCCACACCTGCGCATCCTCAGTCTCCAGCAGTCCCACAGAAATATAATGCAGGCCACACACGTCATTTACATTTTCGAGTAGCCATCTTAGGAAGGATGAATACAAACAGGTTAGGTGAATTTTCATAATCTTATTTAACTCAATATATCCATAACACTATCATTTTACAATGTGAAGCAACATAGAGAACTTATTAATGAGATAGTTCACATTCTTTTTTTGGTAGTGTCTTTGAAATCCACTGTGTATTTACAATCAGAGCCACATTCTGAGTGCTCGACAGCCCTACGTGGCTCGTGGCCGCCATACCGCTCAGCACAGGGCTAGAATTCTCCGACTCGGCAATCTTCGAAGGGCGCCTTCTTCTCTCAGAGAAGGAATTCCATGGTCACCAAGCCCACCCACCGCACACACCACCCGGGAGGCACCCCCACATCCCCCTGCCAGCACCACTTCCGTGACCAGAGACCCTGGCTGTGCTCCCAGCTCTCAGAGCCCAGCCTGATACAGCATGAACACACTTGTCACCAGCCCCTCGACCCTGCACCCTGGACATGTGAACACAAATTCCACAGTTTCCTCCCCGACAACCCTGGGCCTTTCTTCACGGTGACCCTCTCGTCCCCGGACCCTTCCTCGGGCCACAGGGATCTGACTTCTACCTGGGACGGGAGCCTGCACACGCGCCCTGGAAACTGCCTTCTCAGCGACCCCTGTCTATTGTCTTCACAAGTCACACTGAGCACGGGAGGACCTGGGAGGACTCGGTGTGAGGTGTCAGGCCCAGCACCTGACTAATGCTTTTCAAGGGCGCACGCAGGTGTGCCTCCAGACAGTTAAAACTTACATCAGCTAAAGTTATGTTTCATTACTGTTGAATGTTCTCACCTTCCTGGATTCAGTAGAAATATGTAAGGGGTGAAAAACGCAATGAAAATTCCCACCAATTTCCATGCAGATGCCCTGGCCTTGCTGGCCACCACCCTCTCAGACGTGTCCCCTGATGTGGGGGAACCTGGGGGAGCACCCCCACCCCTCAGTGAGCCCCTCACGCACACCAGCGACCCTGCCCTGTGAGGAGGCAGTCATGCAGCTAAGGCAAAGAACCAATTTGTTTCTAGCTTCTTTTTTTAAAACCAATACTATGGCAAGAATAGGCATGTTAGAATATAGATTGCTAACAGGTGAAATAATGCTCAACTTTGTGAAGAAAAAAAAATTTTTTTTTTAAGATTTAATTTATTTATTAGAGAGAGAGAAACAGCATGAGAGGGGAGAGGGTCAGAGGGAGAAGCAGGCTCCCAGCTGAGCGGGAGCCCGATGTGGGACTCGATCCCGGGACTCCAGGATCATGACCTGAGCCGAAGGCAGTCGTCTAACCGAGCCACCCAGGCGCCCAAGAAAAATTTTTTTAAATGTCCAAGTGACAAGGAACTATTTTTGGACCCCCGTGTGGCAATGAGGAAAAGAATGACAACATCCAGGGCTGGCCAACACAGAGCCTTCCTGACGCTGTTGACTGGGATGTCAATAGGTGCTTTCTTCTGAGGAAGCTGATTTCTTAAAAATTTGAAATGTCTCTACTTAGCCAGCCAGCAGCCCCTGAAATCCACCCTGGCCTTGATCTAAAGCCACAGGGATAAGGGTTAGTAGAGCAGCTCGCCCCCAGCCCGCTCAGTGAACCGCAGAGTGAGGTAGAACACATGCCTGTCTCCAGCCCCTTCCACCTGTCTGAAAATTCTCCTCCTGCTCGGATTTGGTTGGATTTGGTGGGAAGAACCCCCTTTACTGCCATCTGCTGGAAAACTGTGATAACAAAATGCAAAGCTGGCAGTCTGCGCTGTGGACAGCGGCCCCGGCAGGCCTGGGAGAGGCGCTGGCCTCGGGGCGCCTGCCCACAGGAGAGGCTGAAAAAGGTCCCGGGGCTCCTGCGGGCTCCCCACTTCCACGGCGCTCTGTCCTCAGCCTCCACACACAGCCACTGGCAGCTTTCTGAAACAGACTGGACTTAGGGTTTCAAGGTGGCCGAGGAAAGACAGTTCTGCCCCTTCAATGCTTGAAGAACACCCCCAACAAGGAAAACAAGAAATAGACGTTAAAAATACAAAGGATACGCGAACTTGGGGCTTGACCCACAGAGTGAGGGGATGGCTACGAGAGTGCAGCGTCCCTGGCACGGACAAGAAGAGTGTGTGACACATCTGTAGCCAAAGCAGGGCCAGAGCAGAGGAGCAAGGGGCCCAGAGCCCCAGTCAGTTCTCAGATCAGGGCCCACTGACTGAAGCGGCGTCCTAGCAAGGAGGACCCCGCACATGGTGACAAGCATCTGCTGTTTTGATTTCCCCGCTTCTGCCCTATAGGTACCCGCAGCCACTCACCTAGGTGACTCAACCCAGCGACAGGAGGCTAAGGAGTCGTCTGGAGGACTATGGGACCCAAGCTCTGAGTGGACCCTGAAACTCGACGACCCAAAGCACCATCATTCCAGCTGGGACGACGACATAGGCCCGGGTACACTGTGGAACTCCATCCCACCGCTGTCCATCCCACCTGTGCGTGAACGGTTTCTGACCCTCTTTCCCAGCCAGAACGGAAGAATGCATTTGCCCCGTCAGTGGCTTCACGCTGCACGGAGGCCCTGTTAATCGCTCTAGCAGCTCTACCGTGACCAGAACAGCAGTGGCAACCAGGACTACTAGCCGCTTCGGCCTCGGTCATCCGCATTCCCCAGGACCACCTAGGTTCCTCCAGCGCTGGACTGGGGCCTCAAGCTGGGCTACGGCACGGAGCACTGTCCTTGCACTCCCTGAGTTTCGATGGTGCTACTAAGTCCTCTATCCTGGCCAGCCCCCCGGAGATCAATCATGTTTCTGGCTTATCTTGAGGGCACAGTTTCATGTTTCCTCAGGGCCTTCACCATCGTGACCCCTCTTAGTTCGCAGGCCAAGGAACCAGCGCAGGGGTCACTCCAACTGCCAAAGGTACCTGTTCCAGTCACACGCTTGCGAGACTGGGGAGATGACTGCCAGATGACTGGGTCTGTGGACCCCATTCCTGCTCCGAGCCGCCAGAGTTAGACCCCTCAGATATGAAGGTCTGGGTCACATGCAGGCAAGCCATGGAGACCTGCCAAGGTGACGGCCGAAGGCACAGAGAGCGGAGAGGGGCGAGTGAGCATCTGTTGTGGCCCTGCGAGCAACTGCATTGACGAGCTATGGCGTGTGGCCTCCCTCTTCTCAGTCTCCCCTCGGGGAGCACCAGGGAGCTCCTCCCGACCTGTGTGGCTCTTGGTCAGTGGCAGCGTGGGGCAGGAGCCCATCCCTGTGAGACATCCGCTGGTGGGCGGCTCATGGACTGCGCAGTGGGCCAGGCTCTCTGAGAGATGTACCACAGCCTGCGGCTCTGCCCTCAGCCCCTCCAAGGGCTCAGACCCCTGCTGCCTTCCCCCTGCCCCGCCACCCCCTGCAGCCCTCTTCTCGGTCCTTCCTCACAGGCCTTCTCCCGGTACGGGTCTCGCACGTCCAACCCCATCCCGGCATGCCGATGCTGCCCATGAAAAGCCCCACGCACTCTCTGGCGACAAAGAGTGGCAGAGAGGCAGGAAATGACTTGGCTGAGTGCAGTACATTCCAACCTCGGTAAGTGGCCCAAGCAAGATAAGGGGAACCTCGACATCCAGGAAACGCTCAGGGTGGAGCGGGGTGGGACACTGAGGGAGGGCTGGGACGGTCAACGTAAAGGTAAAGGCAGACCTCCCCAGCTCCACCCCAGAAGAAAGGCCTGGCTGGGCTCCTTCTTCACTCCTACGGGCCCACATAGTCTAGAAAAACTAAAATCGAGATTCTAGACTCGGGCCTCAGGCACATTAGCAACAGATGTGCTGGCATGAGGCACAGGGAGGGCATGGGTGAGGGGCCCAGGCTGAAGACAGGGCTCTGTGGCAGAGGGCTGCAGCCCAACCCCACCCCATACAGTCTCTGACACCAGGCATTCTGGGCATTCTGGAAGAAGTAATACAAATTTCCCAGAACTCTATGCCATGGCCTTTCAGACTGAAGGGGCATCAAGTGCCCACCACAGTTAATGAAAAAACTTCCATATCAAGGCATATCTTCATAACATTTCAGAAGGCAAGAAATAAAGAACCATTTTTACAAGATTCCAGAGATAAAACACAACAGGGTACTTGCAAAGGATCAGGAATAAGAATGGTGTTAGAAAGCTCAAAAGCCAAACTACACCACACTAAAACAGGGTACTGCCTTTACAACTCGTAGGGCAACTGATTTATAACTAAGAACTCTACACCCAACCAAACTATGAGTCACGTGACAGGCAGGGCAGAACAAAGAGTTTCAGCCGTCCAAGGCCGCAAAAAAGTTTGCCTCCCATGCACCACTTCTGGGGAAGCTGCTGGAGGATGCATCCCACCAAAACAAGGGAGTAAACTGAGAAAGACAGAAAGAGGTCTGGAAGCAAGTTAAGGAAAGCCCCAGGCCGGGCCCAGGATAACCCATCTGCATCAGGTACGGGGCGGCCAGTCCCGCTGGGGAGCAGCGCTGAGGCTCCAAGAGCGAGATCCCACCGACGAGGAAACAGTGCATCCCTGGACACGCTGAGAGGAAACCTAGATGCCTGGCAGAAAGCTTTGAGTTAACTCAGCAAGGAGAGCAGAGAAAACTCCTCGCTCCTTGAAAAACAAAACAAAGAGCACAATGCAAACAAATAAATGACAAGTGGCATTAACTCCAGGAACAAAAAGTTGAAGGGAAAAGAAATTCTACCATAGTGTAAACAGAAGGCTGTGCAGGAGAGAGTGTTTAGGTGTCATGATGATAGACAACACACCATCCACACTGGTCCAAACCTGATGACACTGCAAATACCCGGAGGTCAGAGAACGGGAAACGTGGTGGAGGGAAACAGGTGGTGGGGAGGAAGGAGGGCACCTGTGATGAGCACTGGGTGGTGTCTGGAAGTGTTGTATCACGATTGTACGCCTGAAACTAATATTACACTGTATGCGAACTAACTGGAATTTAAATAAAAACTAAAGAAAAAAATGAACAGTATAATTTTAAAAGCAAATTTGTCAACAGAATTTATATTATTTTAACCGGACACCTGGTGGCAGCAAAGGCCATATTTTAAAGTAACCGCACAGGATCAGGAGCTGGGTGCTTACTGGTGTGAAGGCCCCAGGTATGCCGCCCAGGCCTGTGGGCTTTGGGGTCCCAGACCTGAGGCTCATGGCCAGGGGCAAGGGCAGCTGGGTCCTCTCTGGATTGGCGGGCTGTGCGGTTGCGCCCAACATTTCCTGGCACCTAACAGATCTACTGCACCATCGAAAATCTCTCTATTCTTTTCTCTATGAATAGGCTTCATTGTTCTGGTCTCACTATCTTTCTGCCCACAAAGACTGTGGTTCAGAGAAATGACAACTTCTTGATGTTGGACTATAATATCTAAAGACAGTCTGTCGACAAAATTAGTATGGTAATTTAGGGAATGCTAAGAATGTTTCCAACACAATTCTATTATCTCTGCCTGTAATCTCACTCAACATTTTAGTTGTCAAAGAAAATTCTATCCTGACGTTCTGCTTGCACAGTGATACAAGTAAAAAAATAAACAAAAACTCATAAAACCAGCTTAGAGAATTACACTGTATCTCAATGGTTTTTAAATGTGGCTTCCTGACAGAGTACAGGCAACTCTTGTCATTCAAATCCCAGTTTAGTGGCTCAAGATGCCCACCCAGAGCCATTCCAAAAGTTCCCACAGGGGGGCCGGGATGCTGGAATGGCCAACTTCTACGATTCTAAGAAATAGATATTTGGGCCTAATTTATGTATGATTTCTCAAGCAACGGTATCACTTACTACTTAGCCTCTAACTTTTCCCCACCCCAAACCTAAATTCCTGCCTCATTAAAAATGGGATTTCAAATATGGCAAATATATTAACAATTAACAAATAGATGATTCTGGGCAAATAATATTTGGGAGTTCTCTGTTCTATTCTTGTAACTTTTAAATTTTAAGTTACTTCAAAATGGAAGGTTAAAAAAAAAAAAAGTTTCCTTCTGCAGCATCAAACCAAGCAGCTCAAGCCTTCATCCTGAGTGGCTCGTGTGGGCTCGGGCAAACGAGGTGCTCCACAAATGTCTTCTAATCTCAGTGGTATTTGGGAACTCAACACGATCCCATCATTTCTTTGGATTCTTGACACTGGCAACTTTTTAAAAAATATTAAGTTCTTCTGTACCTGGAGAATCATGATAACAAAATGATTGTGATTTTAAAAATAAAACTGACGTGGTGTCACTACTTACTCTATGAATGATACCAGCTGAATGCAGATGTTTAATACCACAGAGCATCTGGTACAGAAGGTAGGACATCCTTTCATGGTCCAACTCCATGTGAATAACCTGACATAAGTTAGCATCCATTAATTCCATAACCAAATACCTGGGGGAAAAAAAGATCAGCCATGTACACATAAAAATACCCAAAATTCCTTTACGGTTACTAAACTCTACATTTATATGAAACAGTATAACTTACTACTTAGTTGCTGCACTGGCTAAAATAAAAAAAAAAGATAACTTGTTTTCTCTAAATATTTATAAGGTATCTTGTAAAAAAAAGCAAACATATAATGGAACTTAGAAGTTTTCAAAAAAAAAACCTATCAACATGATGTATTTCAAGTTAAAACAATTTTTATATCATAGTAAACAGAATCTCCAATATTCAAATTCTCCGAAATCTCCCTCCCTCCCTCTCTCTTTTTCTTTCTTTCTTGCTATTGGGTCATACTTACCAATATAGAAACCATGCTGTTACTCCTCTCATGTTAAGAAAATGTTTGACCTTCTGCCCCCACCAGCTATGCCCCATATTCTTGCTCTCTTTGCAAACAAAACTCCCCGAAGAGGTGTCTATACTTGGCATCTCCAATTCTTCTCCCATTTTCTCTGAAGCCCACTTCCATGGGGCCTGTGCCCCACCACTCTGCACTGCCCTCGCCAAGGCCCCCGATGACTTACTTGCACGTCGCTAAATCCAATGGCCTGTTCTACGGTCCTGGCTGGTTGTGCCCTGCTCCTCTCCCCAACTTCTTACTGTTGGGGGTGCCAATGCCCGGTCCTTGGCCTCCTTCTCTTCTCTATCACAGTCTTGGGGATCTCCTCTGGTCTCCGGTCTCAACACTTTAAACACCATCCGCAGACCATCAACTCTCAAATTCATACCTTCCACCCAGACCTCTCTCCTGAACGCCAGGCTCATGTATCTAACTGTCCACGTCCCAGGCCTACCTGGGTATCCAAGAGGCATCTCGAGGCCCATGTCCAAAACTGAGTCCCCAATTCCATCTCCCCCTCCAGTCACCCTCCTCATCTCAGCTGGGACTCAGGCCAGCACCGGGAGTCGCCCTCAGCTTGTTCTTCCTCACACTGCAGTCCTCTAACAGTGGCTCCCCCTTCAGGACAGTTTCGGCCTCTAGTCTCTCCCTTTAACTAGTACCCTCTGGTCTAAATGAAACCACCATCACCCCTCCCCTACATTGCTGCAACAGCCTCCTCACGGGGCTTCTGTGTCCCCACCCCTGATGGTGGGTTCCCAACACAGACACTAAAGTTATTCTTTGAAAATGTAAGTCAGGGAAGCTCACTCCTCTGCTGAGTCTTACTGCCTTGCCCTGGAGTAAAAGGCCTCGAGGCCCAGGAGGGCCTGACCCCATCACTTCTCGGAGCCCACCCACTTTTTTCCTCTGCTCCCCTTCTCCAGCCACACTGGCCACTTATGGCTCTCAGAGCACAGTGGGCATGGCCCCACTTCCACTCCTTTGTATGCCCGTTCCTTCTATCTCGATCCCACCTTCCCTCAAATATCTGTAGGACCGACCCCGAGCCTGCTTCAAGGCTTTCTTCGTCCCCGGTCCAGTGAGGTCTTTTCTCCACCCACCCTGCTTAGGATGCACCAGGCCTGTCCCCTAACCCCTGGCACTTCTGATTCCCTAAACCAGCTCACTTCTTCCAGAACACTTGCGACATCCTTATGATGGCGGCACTTCCTTACTTATGTTAACTGCGTATCTTCTCTTCTCTGGCTTTCACAAAGCTCTAAGAGCGAGTGTGACCACCTGCAATTCTTAATCATAAAAGGGATCTTTGCCTGTTTGGGTCACTGAAGTATGCCAAGTCCCAGAGAATGCCTAGCACATGAACGGCAATCAGATATTTGTTGAACGAATGCACCAGTCAATTTAGGATGAGTTGGGCATTGTATTTCAATATGGTAAGTTAATATTTTATTGTCCATAAGATAATTCTATTTCAGATTTTGGAATCGCACAACATATAGTGTCGTAATGATTTGAAAATAATAATTATAAACACTATCATCCTGGCTTTCAGGGGGACTGGAGAACAACATTTTATATTTCAGCAGAGCAAATCAACAACATTAACGATCACCATCTGCTCCGAAGAATTATTTTCAGTCATCATTTATTGGTTATGGAGATGATTATATCTAGGCACAAACAGTTGAATATTATTATCTATCTTCCTTAATATTTCTCCTCCACAGAAAAAAGTGGCTAAATATATTGCTACCTACATTTCCTAAGTAAAAAAAGCAGTTTTTCCTTTCTAAATTTTTAGTCTTTGAGACATACTGCATTACTGAGTAAAAGTGATACTTACACATCTTGAAATTCTTCTAGAGTCTTTTGTGGTGTAAATACATTTAACAAACTAATTATCTGAAAAGAGAAGATTTATTATTCCTCAGCATGTCAGGTAACTCTACTTAATTATAAAAATTAAGTTTAACATTAAAATTTATTAAAACTGAAAAATCATACCAGAGCTCAGTATTTATTATTGTTATTAGTTTTACCAAAACATCCTATTACATGGTATTTGAGAAAAGTTAAATGATTAGGATTCTCACCTTGGAAATAAGATATACTTTTAATCAAATCACATTTTATGTGTCTCTAGTAACTTATTATGACAGAATTTTAACACATAACGTCTTTCGGGCTTTGAACATAAAAAGGTAGAACATTACGGGTAGAAAAACACCAAAGCAATATGTTAACTATGAAAACTGAGATACGATCTACAAATTTCTGTAGTTTTGAAATATGAAGGTGAAACTTATATTTCTAGTTTGATGAAGATGAACCCCTCACAGTGTTAGGTATTTACTTAAAGAGGGTTCTAGAAAGGCCTCTACTGCAAGGCCTTGGTCCTGGCACCCCAACAGTTAAACAGTGAGTCCCACCGCTTGAGCATCAAGCACACATCCTCAATTATTTCAAATGACCAAGGAAAAGATGAGTGAGAATATAGGATTGGGGTGGCTGGCTAACCAACTACAAAATAAAACCGGATCCATACTTAATCTTCACATCAACTCCAAGTGGAACAAAGATTTAAATGTAAACCATGAAACCACAAAACATTAAAATGTGGATAAACATTTATGTAATCCTGGCGTAGAAAAGCCTTTTCTAAGCATGACAGGAAACCTAGAACATGTGTTATGTTAAACCCAAACCAAGACCAAAAAACCAAACAACAACAACAACAAAACCACATACACACAAAAACCTAGTATGGCAAAAGTAACCTAAATGAGGTCAAATGGAAAAGAAGTGAGGGTTGATAGCTTTAATATACAAAGATCCTCTATAAATGTATAAAAGAGACCGACAGCCCAAGAGAAAAATGGTCAAAGGCCATGGGAAACAAATTCTTCAAAAATAAATGGCTAGTAAAGTATGGAAAGAAGTGAACCTCACAAGTAAGAATAAGATATCATTTTTCATCTCTCAGATTGGCAAAGTACAACAACAACAAAAAAATCAACAATATGTACATAGTGCTGGGGGATTCTGAAATAAAACACATTCTTAGACATTTCTTTTTTTTTTTTTTCCTCAGATAGTCTTAATGAAAGTGTAAAACTGACAGTTTTTCTTGAGGTCAATTTGTCAGCACGTATTAAAGCCAGAAGTGTGTAGTTTACGCTTTGGCTAAGAAGTTCACCTGGACAGGTGGGCAAAGATGCATGTACAAGGATGTTTGTTGCAGCACTTGGCTATAATAGCAAAAACTGGAAGCAATCTAAATATCCAGTAACAGGTGACTGTTAAATAAATTATCGTGCATGTGTACTATGTAATGTATCTGAGGTCCAGAAACATTCCGCGAGGGAGAAGGCAGGATGCACGATAACATAGCTGATCGTGTTCATGTATGCATGTACATACACGTGTAAGAATGCTCACCAAAATGTTAATGATAATGATCTGAGAGATTCAAGGATTTTTACCTTCTTGTTTATATTGTTTGAATTAAAAAAAAATAATAACCATACTTCTGTGTAACCTGAAAAAAAATTTAAATGTATAAGTAAAATAAAGCATGCGTTGGAGAAATTAAAAACAAACTCAAACCATGGACTCAAAAGAATAAACCTATCTTAGTTTTGTATGTAATATCCCTTCACCAGAAAGAGCCAGCATAAATGCTAAAACAAAGGGAGCCACGTGGAGTTGAGTGTAGTCTTAAATACTCCTCCCCCACAACAAAAAAGGGGTCACAAGGGGTGATCTCCAAAGCCCCTTTCAGACATAACATTTTATGATTTTTTTATAACATGGCAAGATTATCAAAATTATGCTCACGCTAATGCTCAGAGACCAGTAGTGGACATATAATGGGCCTCCAGAAATTTTCTGGAGAAATACAATTTCTCCTTGAAATTCACAGTGCTTTGATTTCTGTGGAGATGCCAAGCACAGCCATCTTGAATATCACATTTACTTAGAACCGAAACGTCCGTTGTGTACAAGGTAAAAAGCTACTTTATAGAACAATGTTTTTCTAAAACATTATCTAGTTGTTTCTCATTTTCTTAGGTCAATACTGTTGCCATTTTATAGAAACAGATATGGTGAAAATCAAATGATTACAGGGTTAATGGATATTGCTGTCGGACCTAGACTGGACCATGATGCTTCTTGCTGACTTCAATTTCCCCAATGCTTATTAAGAATTTTGTCAAGAAAATAGAACCACTTAAATAGTTCCTGTTATAGCTAGTTTACCCGAGGTCTGAACTCAGTGTATTTCCAAAGACCCACAAGATGACCACACCGTGGACCGCGTTATACAGAGGAAACATAGACATAACTTACATTTTTATGATTGACACATTTTAAGAGGACGAGTTCACGGTAAGCTCTCTTTGCATGAGTTTGATTCTGAAAAGGACGGCTTAGTTTCTTGACTGCAACATTTATCCCAAGAACTGTATCAAAAGCGGCACTACAATCAGGAAATACAATAAGGGACCCATTAGGATGATTCTGGAAAAGACTGCAATGCACAATGTCCATTCAATGCATTCCCTTTTTAAATGAGTAACAAATAAGGAAATGTCTTTCTGCTTGTTTCCACTCGAGGTACTTCTAACACATGAAGAGCCAGGTTAAGTTGGCTAAGGGTGTGGGAGGGACTGACTGCAGAGGCGCGAACACGGCAGCTGCAGTTAGGATGCACACTGACTTCTCCTTATGTGAGCTGAGATTATTATATTCAGAACCAAGTAATTTAATACAAATCACAGAATACAATATAAGTATAATCTGGCATATCACCATGGAGGAAATGGTGGAGCTCATGAGAAACGGATACAACAAATACAAGCTCTGATTGTGTTTTTCCCAGACAAAAGAATCTAAAAAAGAAAACAGAAGGCTAAGATCTCAGCTCATGGTAAATCCCCAACACAAAACCCCTAATGTAAGCAATGGCTATATATAAAATTCGACTAGAAATAACTCCTTGTACTATTATAGTAAGAAGAAAAATCTTGCTGAGGCTGCGTTTCTGCCATCTCAAGTTCCCAACTGAAATTCATTGTTCCTTTTTTCCTCCAGAAAACAGACAGGACAAACTGAGTCGACTGATTGTGCATTTCTTACAAACCAGTACTAATGGTACTGTTGGGGCTATTATTGCCCTTTGGTTCCTCACCAGAGGTTAAAAGCTGCTAAGGACCACCTGAGAACGGAAGCACCATCTAAAATATTGTTTCTATGTATTTATTCTATTCTGTTTGTAACACTGTTTCCACTCGTTCACGTCTATTAATTTTCTTTCCTTTTTTTTTGCCAACAAGCCTCACCTAATTCAATCTGTTTTAGATTGAAGGCTAGAAACCCCATGTTATTTTGTAATTATTTCTTCAGGTCACATTACGTGTACATGTATACACATATGTAAATCCACATGCCATATGCAAATGTAATAGTCACATGAATTATAAAATGTTAAAGATAAATCTATTTGTGCAACGAATAATATACACACGTGTATTTGTACCTACATTTATTTCTCAGTCTTAAGAATTTGAAAACAGACACACCTTTTTTTATCTCAAAAGTTTTTGTCCAAAATGAGCCAAACGGACTTAATTCTGAGCCTCTGAGCAGGCACACACTTCCACTCCTAGTTCCAACCCTTGGAGCAACCACCTTCAATTATTTCTGGTTTTAATTCTTGTGGTCCCTTCTCAACTCCAGAGAAAATACCTCTATCACTATTTCCTCATGTCTCAACTTCAGAAATTGCCTATCTACTCCCCCAAAACTGAAGACTTAGTCACTTTATTGAAACCCCCAACTCCTCCCAGTTTTTTTCTCCCAGTTTTTTGCTCTCGTGTTATTTTAAACCTTTCCCTTGGTTATCTTAGTAACTTTAAACAACGTGCCTAAACTTCTTGTTCCATCAACTTTCCAGGGAACCTCCGGACTCCCAGCATGTAAGACAAGACCATCACATTCCATCTCTTTGGCCTCCAGCGCTCTACTCATTTTCCCTTCCTCCAAACTCTGTCTCAAATGGGCAACCTAGAGGACATATCTATGTGGCCCCTACAGCTAAGTCTTCCATGTTTCTTCTTTCGGACGTGTCTAAACGTTGAAAACCAAGACACAGAGAGTGCGTGTGCGCATACAGGTCAGTGTTCGTAATCGCAGAGCCGGGATGACATTTCATTTTCTAAGGATCAGTGACCCTTGTAGCTGCTCACAAGAGAATAAGATTGTTTCCAGCATCGAAGTCAGATGGATTTTCTTTTCTTACATTCCATCAATTGCTCAAACATCGTGTCCTTTTAAAGCTGTTTGACGCTTAGACCATGACTTTTCTAGCTTTTCCACTGTAAGTTTCTAATAAGCATTTTTCTTCTGAAGAGAAGAAAAATACCCCTTTCTGCAGCCTCTCCCCAACACTTCCTACATTCTTGCTCACATTATTGTCTGGAGTCTATTCCATTCTTTTTGACGGTATTTTTTTCTTGGAGTTCCTTTCAAGGCCTGCTGCACAGCTACCACCCTGGGATTTCTCTTCACTGGCCTCCATGCTTCTGGTCATACATGTTCTTGAATTCTCTTTCTTGGTGGAGTACATCCTCAAGGAATTTCCTCAGAAAAAGTGCATGGAAGATAAATGATCTCATTCTGCCCTTGGCCTCGATTGATAGTTTGTCTTCTGACTTCAAATTCAATTTTCTCTCAGAACTCCATGGACTTCCAACATGGAGTATTGGTGAGAAGGCAATGCCTGTCTGATATTCATTCCCTGACTTCCCTTCCTGTTCCTCAGCTCAATGATTAATCACAAAGAGCCATGTTTTGTCAGCATCCCCCCAGGCCCCCCAACATCTCCTACTAATCACTATCCCTCCTGTCCTCCAAAGATGATAACGACTTCTCTTATGATAATCACTTCCTTGCTCTTACCAGCAAAACATGAATTTTCAAGCTCCCTCCCCACAGCCCCCATAGTTTATTTTTGCCTGGTTTTTGAAATCAGCTGTGTCTGACTTCTTTCGCTCAACATCACATTTGTGAGACTCATCTGTCATTGTGTGTAGCTATGATTCATTGTGTCATTGCTATAATATTCCTTTGCATGACTATATGACATAATGTTGATAGACACTTTGGCTGTTTTCAGTTCGCAATTGATTACAAAAAAACATAGTCATAAATGTTCTCACACAGGGCTTGGAGTCCCCTCTGCATGCATTTCTGATGAGTAGATAGCTAAGTGTGGGACTGCACATATTTTAGCAGATAATGCCAAACCACTGTCAAAGTGGTTTGTTCTACCAATTTCTAGGCATTTGATTTTTATGTATACTGACCCTGTGTCCTACATGAGGGTAAAGCATACTCATTAACAAACAGGAGCTGGGGGGCTAATCTAATCACAAAAGTCCTTCAGAAGCTGAGTTTGTTCCGGCTGGTGGGAAGGGGAGAAAGTCCGAGAGATTTTTATCCTGAGAAGGATTAGACATGCCACTGCTGCCTTTAAGATGGAGGGCGACATGTGAGAAGGAATGTGGGAGCCTCATGGAGCTCAGTGGCCCTTGGCTGACAGAAAGCAAGGGATGAGGACCTCAGACCTCCAGCTGCAAGGAATTGGGTCTTGCGACTGCTTGGAAGCACGTTCTTTCCCAGAGCCTCCATATAAGAACGCAGCCCAGCCAACATCTTGATTTCAGCTTTGTGAGATGCTGAGCAAGAACCCAGGCAAGGCTGTGCAGATTTTTGACCTACAGAACTATGAAATTATAAATGGATGTTTTGTTTTGTTTTTTAAAAACACCAAGTTTGTGGTAATTTGTTATGTAGCAGTAGAAAACTAATACATCCTCTCTCCTGTATTTTTCTACACGTCTGTCTCTTCAGTCTTCATCCTGAATTTTTTTCCTGACCCATCTTTCAGATCGCTAAATCTCTCTTCAGTTACATCTAATATGCCGTCAAACCCACCCATCCTGGATATAACATCAGAGCTATTTAGAAGTCTGGATCCAAGAATGCCAATTTCCCCTGTGCATCTGTTTCTTTTCTGTTTGTGTTGGGTTGTGTGCATGTTGTCTTATCTCCTCTGTGACTAGTTATTTGTGATTACGCATGGGACCCCACACTTGCAAGACTCCTTGCTATCTGGAAATAATTTGATATCCAGTATGATGCTGTCTTCCTCTAGGGAGAATTTAAATTCACTTCTGCTGGATACCTGGTGTGTGTGTGGGGGGAGGCACTAGCAATCTGGGTTCAATTCAGTTTAAGTTCAGCAACTTGAGATGATCTGAGGCTGAGTGGCAGTGCCTTCAAGGATCTGTTTCTTTCTGGTTCATTCTCACCTCTTGGATGCAGTCCTTTATTGGCCCCAGCTCAAAGCGAAGGACATTCACCAGGCCACCCACAGGGCCCTGGGCTCCAATCCCTGTCTGCTAGTCCCCCAAGGCAATCCAAAGTATTACTCAATCTCTCAGCTGCCCACTCTAGAACTGTCAAATGTCCTCAGAGGAAAGAGCCCCAAATCCTGGGCTCCCCCCTCCAGGCTTCTGCTCTTCCCTGGATCCTGGCCTAGTAATTCTTCACTCACCTACTTGCGCTCTAGGTGCAAATGCTGGGCACATGGGTGAGGGCGGGAATGCTAGGAGCCAACTGGCACAATTGTTTCATAATTAACACCCCTATTCCTAGCCACTCGTGTCATCTTCATTTTCTGTATTTCTATCTCTATACCCACAGCCTCTTTGGGGTTTTACTATAGATAGGTTCTCTTCCTTGTTGCAAATGTCTCGTCTACTTATTCTCATCTTCTCTGCTCTGTTTATCTGCATCAAGTTTCCAATTACTTTTTACATTAGAGAAACTTGTTAAAAGCTCTCCTGCACTGACTACTGCCTTCCTGTTCTCTGTTAGGTATCTGATCCATCACCTTAATCCAGAAGCTCTAAACCATTCATTTTAGAGATGAAACTGTTAAGACCCCCAAAGACACAAGGATTTGCCCAAGGTCACAGAGAACTCCTGCGATGTGGATCACAGCCGGCCTTGGAACTCAGTACCCCTGAATCACAGCCTTCCTGCACTTTATGCTACAGACCTCCTTCGTCGCAGAAATGTTGTTATACACGTCATACGTTTACTTACTTAGACCACTAGAGAGAAAATAAACTGGTGTAAGAGCAGGCCGACATTAGAGGGTGCACAGAACTAGAGAGAGAAAAAGAAGAGCTAGACTAACCACTTCATGCTCAGGTTGTTAACGGTCACTTCTAGGGACTGCCAGATCCAATATTAAACACTTTTTCTTTTTAAGTTAGACACTTCATACAACTATCCATAAAACAATTTTCAATACTTTGGCTGAACAACTTGAGATTTTAGAAGGAGAAAGAAAAATCTGAATAGATACGAAAGAAATGTACACACAATTCCCACTACAGCTTTGAAATC